TTTCTTTTTCTCTATTTTTAAAACGTGAACAAAAAGAAATAATGGAAAATATTCAACATTTTTTATGGGTGCACCCTTCCTATGAAAAAAAAATAGTTTAATTTTTTCAAATAAGATTAAAACAGATATAATTTTAATGGGTTTATTTTAAATCGTGATAGTTTGAAATTATTTTCATTAATTAATATTTGTGATTTCTATGATTTTACACTTAATTTTCTGATAAGTAATTGAAGTCCAATGCTTAGTTGAGAGTAATTTACACTTCTTCAATAATAATAAAATAAAAAAAAAATAAAAAAAAGAATAAAAATTTTTCAATAATAGATCTCAATATAATTGACAAAATTTGGTTAAAATTCTATCAAATTTTCCTTTATTTAATAACCAAAACTTTAATTAGTTTTTTTGGCTCATATTTTATATTCGAATATTAATGATTATAAATAATAATAAACGAAAAAATTTTGTTTAGAAATCAAAACTTTCCAACATGAAATGAAAAGGGTACTTTGCAATTTCCAAGATTTAACTTGATTGTTAATATAAATAATAATGTTCATTTTACATAATTGTGACTAAATTTATTTTATTTTTGGTTTTAATTTTTTTTTAATTTTGAAAATATCAGGTTTTTATATATTTAGAATTGCTTAAAGATTAATCACAAACCCGATTTAATTATCAGTTGTTCTTGAATACTAAATGGTGTATTTATTTTTTTTCAATTTATTATTTCAGGAGAGGTCACAATTTTTGAAATGGAGTTTAAGTTACTTTTTTTTGTTTTATATTTGAAAATTGTGAATTTTCGATTTCAAAAAATGGACCCAAAATAAAACATTGTTTAAGTGTGGTTGGTTCATCTATTACATAAGCTGTTACACACATGACAAATAAAAAATATTTTTCAAGATCTAAATAAGATTTATTTTATTTTTAAAAAAGACTACCCCCTTAAGAAAAATTATACATAGTTCTATTCATAATTAAAAATTAAACTATAAAATCAAGAATTTAAGCTTCGAAACTAATTTTTTCTTAGGTATACTACTAGGTAGCGAATTAGATATTCCATTGGAGTAAAAAGAAGAAAAAGTCCAGTTTTTATTTTGAAACATGGGTTGTAGAATCTAGGTACTGGTTTTCTGTACACTTTATTTTTACTTCCTTCTTAAAAAATATAAAATATTTATAATGTTTTCCTAATACTGAAAAATTTTAAAAAAAATAATTTTTTTTTTAGTTTATTTGCGGTTTTTTTATATCTTAAACTTCGACCTTTAAAAGGGTGATAAACAAAGAAGTTTTTGTTTTTAATTATTTTGACAAAGTTTCTTGATAATTAAACTAATAAAATACTTTCTTAAAAATTTTGATAAAAAAATTAAAATAATGAAAAATGAAGTATAAATTTTCAAAAATTTATTAGGATTTATATATAAAGAGGAAAAAACAATTATTTAAGTTTCTTTTTCATCTTTTTCTTTTTTTAAAGGTTCTTCAATTGATATAGATTTAATTATTTGGGGTCTCTATTTATTTGTTCCTTTTTTTGAGTATAAATTGGTTGATATGATAAGAATCATCAGTCAAAAGATTTTTTAAGAATTGAATAAAAAGGATATACTATGAGTTTAATTGTATAAAAGTATCTTGTAAACCAAAAAAAAAAAATCCAAAAGTAAATTTAATAGCAAATTCAAAAAAAATTTCAGTATAATTTGAAATTGTAAAATGGTGTAAAAATATGATTGGGAAAATAGCAAACTTACTTTAAAAACTATTTCCAAAATGAATTTTTGGTTTGAAAAGTCTGATAAATTTTTCTCATTTTAAAAAAAAATCAAAATTCAACATATTTCTGAAATATTCAAAAAAAAATTATTTTCTTTGAAAGAAGAAAGAAATCTTATTATTTTCGAAGATGATTTATCAAAATACATTTTACAAATAATATCACTATGTTGTAAACAATCTGAGGATAAAAAATCTACTTAATTTCAAAAAAATTGGAACAATTTTAAACTTGTAAAAACAATAATTTGATGATTTAAAGAACAGTTCAAATCAATTGTTTCTTTTTATTTGAATAAATCAGAGTAAAAAAACCAAAAAAATAACCGAAAAACTTCTCTGAAAATACTTTTTAAAAACCTGGAAAATCCGACCTATAATCTGAAAAAAAAATACTTTTTAATTTGATTATTTATAATCAATTATTAATAACCCAATCTTAATTTTTAGATTGGGTTATTTACATCACAAAAATTCAAGGGGGTAATAGGTTTATTACATAAAATTATTTTTCATTTTTTTAAATATTATCAAATTAATATAATTAATTCAAATAAAAAATTCTAATAAAAAACAAATATTTATATTATTAAATAACACATTTGTTTACAATTTTTTTTAATTGTTTATACTCGGAATATTTGAAAAGGAAAATTGCTTCGTCTTTTTAATTCCAAGAAATTTCAGGCAGTCAGTTCCAATTTTAAGGTACAAAATGTAAGGAAATTTAAAGTGGAATAAAAATCTCAAATTAAGGCGCATTTTTCAGATTCTAGTAAAATAAATTTTAAAAAAAAAAATACAAATTAGGTTCCTTTATTTGAGATTTTTTGTACCTTAAATTTCGTTGAAAGTTTGTGCTTTAAAGTCGAGCTGACTGGTAATATTTGTGAATAAAATAAATGAGTAATTTTTTTTTAGATTTTCAAGGATTCAGTATTTGATATATTTTTATTGTATTTTTTAAATAAGATGTAACTTTCAATGGTAAGTATTCCTACAAATTCTTGTAATTTACTAAAACTGGGATTTCTAAAATTAAACATTTTTCTGTAAAATTTTTCTTTTTCTAAGGTGATCCATAAATCATAATATTAAATATTTCGGTTCTTTTTACTGAAAATGGGGAAAATGAACTCTTTTACAATTGATAAATCATTTCTCAATAGTTCAGAAATAAATTTGAATGTTCAGTTTACAGTTAGTTATACTTTTAAAGCACAAACTTTCAACAAAATTTAAGGCACAAAAAAAGTCTCAAATTAGGGCACAAAATTTAGATTCTAGTAAAATAATTTGTAAAAAAAAAAATTCCAAATTTTGTGCCTTAATTTGAGATTTTTTTGTGCCTTAAATTTTGTTGAAAGTTTGTGCCTAAAAGGTAAAACTGACTGTAATTGTATCCTTGCATAAATAATTACTCTATTACCTTTGTGAAAAAATAAATATATAATAGTTACTATTCCTTTAAATTTTGAATAATTGTCCATTTTTCTAACAAACTTGACCAAATTTCATAACAAATGGTCCAATTTTTTTTTTTTTTACTATTTTTTATTTTATTTTTAGAAGAAAAACAAATAATCCCAGTGGATAGAACTGAATATTAAAATAACAATTTTTTTTTATAATAGATTAACCATTATGGAAAAAAGGTGAAAAGCATTTTTTCGCTGGTGGGACTTACTGAAAATGAAAAGCAAAATCAATAAAAAGAAGAAACAAATTAACGTCAAAGAATGATACCTTGTATTATTTTCAATAAAATCAACAAACAGAATTTAAATCTACTTTCTTATTGAACTTGTTCATGTGGTTTTGGAGATCTCAAATATAGTCAATTTTTTGAATAAATATTTAATAATTGATCAATCAAAGAAAACTCCATACCAAAAGATAATATTAAAAAACTGTTATTGTCCTGAGTACTTCATTTTTTCTTTATTTATTTGTTTATTCTTTTACTAATTGATCTTACTTTGAATTTTCAGTCTCAAAAAGTTTCCCTAATATAAAAACGTGTTTCGCTGTTTTTACCTTTTTTGCTTTTTTTTTTTTTCATAATGGTAACTTCAATTTATAAAAATCAGTATTTTTTTTTTTTTTTTTCAATTTGTTTTGAACGAAAATTCTTTTAGAGAAGTGAATTTAAACCAAATTTCATAATTAATTGTCGAACGTTTTTTTTTTTTTTTTTTTTTTTTTTTTTGGAGGGGGTAATTTTATTTTTAGGCGAAAAACAAATATTTCTAGGGTATAGAACTGAATATTAAAATTGTGATTTGTTAATTATAATAGATAACTTTGAACTATAAAAGAATTTATTTTCAATATTTGATTTTTTATGGGTCAATAATTGAGAGATTGGGTTTAGTTTTTTTTCTAAATACTCTTTATTCTTATACTTACAAAAACAAAATAAATTTTAAATCAAAGAGTAATCAGATCTTTTTTATTTTGTTTGATGGAATAATTCACCAAATAGAGTAATAAATCAAATAAAAACAAAATTTGGATTATACTGAGTCCTAAATACTATTTGTTTTAAATTTATGTGACAAAATTTTCATTAAGCTTTCCAAAAAAGGATATATTGAATCTATGTAAAATTTCTAATTATTAATTGCTTAAATCAGTTTAAATTGTCATTTACCTTGGAGAATTAGGTACTTTTGATAATTTATTTTAAATTGGTATATGGTGTTTTTTTTGGAAAGTTGAATTAAAATATTGATCTTTTTATTTTATAATTAACAGTATTATTTTTCTTGAGGATTATTTGAGGTCCAATCTTTTGTGATCCAATAAAAAAAATCTTAATTCAGTGACAGTTTTTATTTAATAGTCAAAATTTAATTTCAGTGTATACTCATTTTGAACATTCCTATTTGTTTCAAAATAAGTTGAATCAAAATTTTGATTAAATTTCCAAAAAAAGATATCTTATGAAAAATTTTAAATTTCAAATTTTAAAACAAGTTTATATTATTATTTTCTCCTTGAGAATTGATAACTTTGATGTTTTATTTGAGTTCTTTGGATGTGTTTTTGGTAGGTTGAATGGTAATTTTGATATTATTATTTAAGATAGTCGAGTATTACCATGTTAAAATTTGAATAAATGTTCATTTTTTTAGAACAAGTTTTTTAAATATGTCATTTGATTTTATTAAATATCCTAAAAGAGTTGAATGTATCGTAGTAGATGTATAGCGCAGTGGTAGCGCGCTCGCTTCACACGCGAGAGGTCCACGGTTCGATCCCGTGTATATCTATTATTGTTTTTTTTATCGCAGAGAAAAACAAAACAATTTTAAAAAGATTCCTAGATGTGACTTCATAACAGTTCTGTTTTCTTTTTGATTTTTTTTTTTTTCGAGCTTACAAACAAAAGAAAAAAGAAAAAAAAAAAAAAAATTATTTACTTGCCAAAATAAGGATCATAATCTATTACTACATCAAATTTACTTGCCCAATAAATAGTAACTTGAGTAAAAAATCACACAACATGTGTGAACAAGAATTGTGCTGTTGATGAAATAATGACAACTGAGAAAACTTTCCTAATAAGCAACATTAACCACTATAAGATCAGTTTTCTTGTAAAATACAAAATTCCAAATCAATTTAACCGTTTTTCTTATCAAACATTGATTTCTTTTTGATTAAAAGTTAGACCTTGAGAGAAAAATAAAAAGTTACACCTTTAACATTCCTCAACAACAAAATAACAAGATTTTAAAATAAATCAAGTCCTTTCATTCTTAAACTCCCTAAGAAGACCAAAAGAATTCAAAGGGACGAAATATTTCTACTTTTTTATACTGGTATTTGAATTAATAATGGGAAAAATTTTCACTTCATTTTCAATTTCCTTTTTAAAAGAGAGTTTTCAAATCACAATCTACTTCTCTGAGAGCCCAGATAGTAAAGAAAAATATGGAAAAGGAAGCTAATCTTTTTTCCCTATTTAGAATTGAAATAACAGTACGAGATAAAAAGAATTAGTTTGTAAATTTTTTCGTGAAATAGAAGTAACAATAATACCTATTAGTGAAAAATCAAATTCAACAACATTTTTACTCAGATACCCAAGAAAAAGAATTGTTTTATCAATTTCAATTTCAAATTTTTTCGTTCCAAAAGATTTATAAATTTTTAATTTCTGTCTCGAATTTGAAACTTAATTGATTTATTTTAATTCTTAGGGTGTTTCTTTTTGGAACACTATATGAAAATTGTGATCTTTTGATTTTGTGAATAACAGTAAAAAAATTCCATTTGCACAAAAAAATGCTTTTTTCAATATTTTTACTTTCCATAAAAGTTCACATTAACTATTTGTCTCGAATGGGACACAAACAAAAAAAAATCAATTCAAAATTGGAAAACAAATTGAACAATCATTTTAATTCAACTCACAAAAATCCCACAAAGATCTCAACAAAATAACACTCTTCAAATGCCTAAATTCTTGTTATTATATGGTTTCGCCTCTAAGAATTGAGACTATCTCTTCCTAATTTATTTACATTCTTAGGATTTTTGACTTTTTTTTTTGAAAGACGAATGAATATACTCCTTGATTTGTTTGACAATTAACTTTCCAGAAATGGAAAATAACCGAAGTAGGAATAATTCCTTGAATTAAAAACAAAATCATTTTTTGCAAATTCTTTACTTTCCACCAAAAGCAAAACAATATGTTGTCTCGGATTCTTCAAGGAGAAAAAAAACTTCCAAAAATGATCTTCACGGGATCGTCGATCAAGCAGTCATTTGTTTCCAACAAAAAGCCCCCAAAGTCGATAGTTTACACGCGCACAGGTGACAAAGGCAAGTCGTCACTTTTCACAGGCGAGAGGCAACTTAAAACGTCTGAAGTGTTTGAGGCCTTAGGCACTGTTGACGAACTAAGTTCGTACGTTGCCTTAATTCGCGTCACAATTGGATCGAAGGACTACAAAGTTGGCGAGACGACACTGTGCGGGCTTCTTTTGAATATTCAGGGTCTATTGACAAAAATGGGAAGCCACATTGCTACTCCACGAGGCTCGAGGAATCAGAAACTTGTCAAGAACACGGAATTCTCCGAAAAGCACACAAAGCACCTCGAAAAGTGGATTGATTTCATTGACAGCAAAAACCCAAAACTCAAAAATTTCATTCTGCCCGGTTCAAACCTTGTTGAGTCCCACCTCAATATCTGCCGTTCAATCTGTAGACGCGCGGAACGCAGGGTTCTAGCTTTAGTCGAAAAGGCATCAGTCGACTCGACTATCTCAAAATTCTTAAATAGATTAGCTGACTTTTTTTTTGTCGCTGCAAGATTTGTGGTTTTTTCTGATGGAGACTCGGAAATTATTTCACCTACAAACCCTTCCTTAGAAGAAATATAAATAGCTGGCTTGTCTGTTTCTTGTTTTTATATCTCATTTGAGACCGCACCTTTTCAAAATTAATATTTAAGGATGTACTTTTTCTTTTTGGAAATAAAAATTTTTATTTCAAGTTTCCCAAATATTTTACTCATTATTTTTCGAAAAATTCCCAATATCTTCTCTAAATCTTTTAAAAATTTGAGAATGAAAATTTTAAAAATTTAATTAGCTCTTCCTTGCTGGTATTTGAAAATTAAGTGACCACTCATGAAAAAAACACTACAAGGAAAAAATAAATTCTGAAAATTCAAGTACGCCAAAACTACATTTGAATTCCAGACGAACTTCTTTTATAAATTATTTTTTCAAAGTTATGATAATTTTATGTAATTGGTAATAGATAGTTATTGAACCCATTAAGATTCAAATACCTCGATTTTTCAAAATTATAAGACTTTTAAAAAAAAACACTTATTTTTGGGGTTTATTTTTTCTTTTGTAATTCATTGCAATGAATGAATTTTTGATTGAACCTTAAGTAAGAAAAAATAATAAATGTTTAAACAATTTGCAGAAAAAAATAGGGAATATATTCCCAACGACCCAAAAAACACTAAAAATTGAAAACTGATCAAATACCTTCCATGAAAAAAATTAAAAAAACAAAATGAAAAAATAAAAATAAATAAAGTTTCTATTTAACTTTTTCTTGAAAACATTTTTTTGCTAAAATGATTGAATTCAAAGTTGAAATTATGTATATTTTTATATACAATATCTTATTTTAACTCATTTACTAAAACAAATTCTCAATTATGGGAAATTTTCTTTTCACAAAAGGGACTAATTTGGACCTCAAATGTTTTTTTTTTATTTTATAATGGTATAATTAAAAAAAAAGTTATTTAAATAAGATAAACTCTCGGGAATAGTATTATAATTTAATATATTAGCTTATTCTGTGATTTCAAAAATTTCTCAACCCCAATTTTTCAAAAAAAAATCAAAAATTGCACAGAAATTTCAAAAAAATATTTACGATATTCAAAAGTTGAGAGTGTTTTTATTTTAAAATGAATTATCCCAGTGGTTAATTGAATTAAGTTATAAGGCTATATTTCAAAAAATATTAATCAGAAAAAAATAGTGCTTAATTTTACTAAGGACATATATAAACACAATTTCAGACCCGCCTTAAATAATCAATTGAAATATATATATATATATATATATATATCTTTTAGTTTTCATGAACAAATAATAATTAAATCTGATTTATAATTCACTTTTATTTCATTTTAAATAAATAAAAAACTGATATTTTAAAAAATAAAATTAAAAAAAACAAAAACTAAAAAAAACTGAGCAAAAATTTTTGAAATGAGCATTACCGATTTTTTATTCAGGCACTTTCACTAAAAAACAGTTTAACATAAGATTTTTTACAAATAATTGATTTCATTTTAAAAGAAATTAACTAATAGAAACTTTTCATAGTGATTATTGGCATATCGAAGTTTTTTTTTTTTTACAACATGATCTTAAGGTTTACAATCCCCGAAACTGGAAAAAAGATTATCTTGTATTGGGTGTGACAACTTGTTATTTTGGTTCTTAGCTGATCGATCCACAACTAAGTTTGGATCGTATAGGTGGTTGAAAAATGCTATTTTTGTGATTTTATTTTTTTTTTCCGAAATCTGAATTGATGAGTCTAAGATTAATTAATTGGAAGGTATTTAATTGAAAGTGTTAATTTTTGGGTTGTCAATTGAAATTATCATTTTCCTTTTACAGAATTAGGAGTAAATAAAAAAAAAAAAATATTTTTACAAGTATCAAATAATACAAAGCATAAATAAAAATTTCAACACAGAAAACAAAAAACTCAATTACTAATTAAATATCTTCCAATTAATTAATCTTAGACTCATCAATTCGGATTTCGGAAAAAAAAAAAATAAAATCACAAAAATAGCATTTTTCAACCACCTATACGATCCAAACTTAGTTGTGGATCGATCAGCTAAGAACCAAAATAACAAGTTGTCACACCCAATACAAGATAATCTTTTTTCCAGTTTCGGGGATTGTAAACCTTAATTAAAAAAAAAAAAAAAAAAAAAAAAAATTCACAAAAAAAAGTAAAATAAAAAGAAAAACAAAAATTTGAAAAAGAAAGAATATAAAAAAAAATAATTTTCAATTAAAAAAAAAACACAGAAAAAAAATATATTAAAAAAAACCCAGATGATATACCACATGAAAACTATTTAAATATAAAAAAATATGATTATTAAATAACCGAAAAACTCACCTTTCAAACGAAAATCGACATAACACTAATAAGTCATAAACTATTTTTCCCAACAAAAATAATTCGGGAACAATAAAAGTCCATAGATGACAACAATAAATAAAAAGATGTTACTACATTTCTATTTTTTTTTTTTATACAAAATCGGGAATTTTATGTCTTTAGGTAGACAGGCCCTATTTTGGATGGAATATTATAAACTCTGTTTCAGTAAAAGGGAACCAACATTTTTTTTCAAATATAAATTATTTTATTTAATTGACCCTTGAAGAACAAATAAGTAATAATCATGATAATACACATCAAACAATTGTTGATGTATGTCTGAAAGAAAACTATTTATGAATAAAATTTTCTTATAAATTGAAAAACTCAAATTCTTAATACCCCATGTAGAAAAACAACAATGTTCGTTTTGAAATTCTACTGGCATTTCAATAATAAATAGAAAACAATTTTCACTTCATTTTACACACTTTTCTTTTAGAAATAAAGTCCCCCAAAAGAACTGTGTTGATATTTGTAGTCTCTATTTGAAAAAGGAAATGAAAATGAAGTGAAAATTTTTCAAATTTAT